CGCCAAAGAAAAAACCGACAAATAGATTTTGTGCTATAAAATATTTTTAAAATTAATAATTGTATATAATATAAATTTACTTTAAAATAATTAAAATGCATTAATAACATAGTAAAATGTGATTTTTTTTTAAATAAATGTTTTTTTAATTACTTAAAATGAAAATATTATTTGATTTAAAACCCCCCACGAAAATTTGTTCCAGCTACGGCCCTGGTGGTCGTTTTTGACCTCTTATTGAAATCAGTGCGGGGATGAAAATATAAAGACAGAAATAGTATAAACGAATAATATAATATAGTATGATAACCTAGAAATATCATCTATTTCTAGTATATAATACATACAATATACAATCTGTAGCTATTGTTTCAGTAGCCATTTTTATGGACAGAATTTAATGTTTTTTGTAGTTATAAGATACCGTGAAACTTAAAAGAAGTTTAAATAAGATTTAGTAGTGGTTTTGGGAACAACGGTGCTATTTAATTAATACCTAGACGGTACTTAAACTATACCTAGCTCAACGATTTTTAATGAACAATACGCATATTCCAAATTTCATTGTTTAAAAAAAAGTTATTTATAAATTATTATACGTATATACCTATTATGTAATAGGCATRTGTAAATGATCCCATAATCTGTAGCCATAATAATAATTATCTTAACGACTATAATGATTCTAGCCGATAATCTTTATATTATTTTTTTTTTAATTCGAAAACATACATACATTTTAATATATATATATATATATATATAGGTATTTGTGAACAAAATTCATAATAAAATAATAATTTTTGTACAGAATTCTACAATATGTAATCTACACATGTCATATTTTTAAACGTTTAGAATTTCAAGTAATATGTTGGTAATATGGTAAGTCAGTACAGTGATTATACAATCTATAGATACAAAATTACTCCACTAAACATATTATTACAAAACGATTAAAAGATTACCTGGAACACGTTTCCATAATTATTTTAAGAATATTGACATTTCTAAGTTTGAAATTTCTTAGTCAAATATATATATTACTCGAAACCCTATGCAATAGCATACAATGTCGGTTTATATTATGTTTAATGACTTTTAAAATTGTTTCCATATAAAAATCATAATATTACTTTATGTGACATTTGTTTTATTCGTTTACATTTACACTAGAAATTCTTCTTAAATATCTAGTTAATTTCCCTTACAATATTTCCCATAATTTCTCATGGTAATGAATAAAATATTCGTCTGGGTTTATGAACAATCAATTTTAGGTAATAATATAATTACCCCGAATATTGCAAAAAAACAAATTACTTGATTTACACATTTTTACCATCAGAATTTGTTTTAATATAATATTTACAAATTGTTATTTTTTAATTTTGCAAACTTTTTTTTTTTTGGTGTTATAATATTGATTTAAACAATAGTTATTTCGTTTTCAGTTCATTCCGTTACAATCTGTATGTGTATAGACATCAGTCAAAATGGTTAGAATGTTCATATAGGAAAAAAATATTAATAACATTTTCCACGAACGGCTACAACTGTCGATGAGGGAAGGGGTGGGGGTTTGAAGGAGTGTATGAGTTGAAAAGGGGTTGTATATATATTATATATAGATACAGTTGAACGATGCGTGATCCTTATATTTGTATATATATTATATATAGATACAGTTGAACGATGCGTGATCCTTATATTTGTATACTATATTATGTATGCGGAGTGGTGCACAGTGGAGCTTACGATATTGCAATATATACGTTGGCATTTTTACATTTATTTTTCGATTAACCTTTTCTCGGAGCCTAATCCAAGCGTATTATAGTAGCGATGCGATTCTGTGAATTGGAAATCCAATACGCATTGCATCACAGATGAGCTTTTCAGGTTCTCTGACGAGTTGGTCATGATAATGGTATATAACGTTCAATATAATATCAAACACTATAGCTTCTGACTCGTTATACAAGTCTAGSAGAAAAACTTGCAGATTACTCAGAGCTTTCCACAGGCTCAGTACCGGAATTAATAGAATTAATAGTACGTGATACAATTATAATGGACATAATATGCCAATACGAATAAACTCATTAGTTGCCTGTAGAATTTTGTTTGTTGAATATCATTTTTTTTTCTTCTGTATAATCGATACACACATTTGAAACCAAAACATTACATTATGTAACCTGACTGTGTCAAAAATTTACACCGAAAAATCCCATTGAAAATTATMTTTCAGTTTATCCCAAATTTTCCAATTTTCCGAGCATATTTTTCAATTTTTCCCTCCGTTGAAACYTTATTTGAAAAATAACAAAAAAAATGTTTAAAAGAAATGAATTCAGCTTTTCCTGATTGATGCATTTACMAACGAAGAGCTTTCATTTTAAAGATTTCATTGATAGACTATAATATAAGTAATTGTCTTTTCCATATCAAAGATTTGTTTCATATAATATATAGAAATTCGTAAAAAATGTATGTCACATAACGAACTTTAATAGTTAG